TGTTAGACTAAATATTCCAACCAAAAGACAGATATTGTCAGAGTAGCTCAAAGAGCAAAACCAATTATAGTCTGTGTATAAAAAAGCACTTTAAATACAAAGACACAACAGGTTGAAAATTAAGGAAGAAAACAAGCGTGTACAGTCAAGATAAGAATGTTGAGGTGGATACATTAATATTAGACAAAATAAAGAAAGGAGAACCTTTTTAATAACTGATGTTGGAACAAAAGAACATCAACCCTTACCTCACAACATAAACAAAAAGTGTCTAAAAATAGAACTAATGTGAAACTAAAACTCTCTCATAGAAGAAATTATAGGGGAAAATCTGTGTATCAAAATAGGCAGAGTATTTAGGTAACACTCAAAAATCATGAACCATAAATCTGATAAAATCAATGTCACCAAAATTAAAAACTTCTGTTCTTTGAATATGATGGCTAAGTAACAGAAACACAAGCCAAAGAATGGAGATTATGAGATCTTACATGTAACATAAAACTGCATATATATAAAATACATATATACTTATTTATAATATATATTTATTTATAAATATATACATTTATATATAAAATAATGAGTGAACTGATATCCAGAATATGTAAAGAATTCTTTCAACTTAAGAAAACAAAAAATTAAAAATGGATAAAAATATTTGAACAGAACAGACCCTTCATGAAAGAAGATATTCAGATGGCCAATAAGCACAGGAAAATGCTTATTATCATTGGTGATAATGGAAATGCAAACTGAAACCACAATGAAACACCAATGTCAACCTATGAAAATGAATAATACTAAAAAGACTGACAATTCTAAGCATTGATAAAGATATGGAACAACTAGAATACTCATGTCATTTTGAAAGGAATGTAAAATAATAAACCACTTCTTGGGGCTTCTGGGTGGCTCAGTCCTTTAAGCATCAAACTTTTGATTTCAGCTCAGGTCATGATCTCATGGTTTGTGAGATCGAGCCCTGAGTGAGGCTCTGAGCTGACAGCATGGAGCCTGCTTGGGATTCTCTCTCTCCCTCTCTCTCTGCCAGCCCCCTTCTGTCTCTGTCTCTTGGAATAAATAAATGAGCTTGAAACAAAAAAAGAAAAATAGGGAAAAAAGAGAAAATAAATAAACCAATTCTTAAAAAGCTTGGTAATTCTTATAAAATCAAAGGTACACTTACAATATGATCCAGAAAGTCTCTTCTTATGTATTTACTGAAGAAAAATACAAACATGTCCACACAAAGACACATACAAGAATATTCATAGCAACTTTTTTTATAATAGCCAAAACTTGGAAACTACATAAATGTCAATAAAACAAGGGATAGATAAACAAGTTTGATATATTTACACAACAGAATGATACTCAAAAGAATACATTTCTGATATGTAAAAAACAAATAAACAAACAAACAAACAAAAACCAGATGAATCTTAAAACTGAAAAAAAAAAAAATCCTGAGTGAAAAAGTACAGATGCCAAAGAGTAAATACTCTATGATCCATGTTTATAAAATTATGGAAAACATAAAAATAATCTGTATTGACAGTAAATAGATCAGTGGTTGGCTGGGGCCAGGGAGTGGGGGAATTGCCAGCAACAGACATAGAGAACTCTTCAGGAAATGAAAAATGATGGAAAATGTTCTTTATCTTGATTGTAGGAGTGATACACAGTATGTAAATTTGTGAAAACTCATCAAAAGATACCGTTAAAATGTATGCATTTTATTATATACAAACTGTACCTCTATAAAGTTAAACAAAAATAAATACTTATATCTTAGATATAAACATGTAGAATTATATCTTAGTATATCTCTGTGATTTGAAGATGGAGATGAAGTAGCCTTTCATTACCCCCATTGATGAGCTAACAAAATATTTTCAGCCCTAACCCACAACTTTGGGTCTGCTAGTCCAGAGGGCTTAGTTTCAAATGGAAGAATGCTCCTGCCAGAGAATGCAGCCATAGTTCCTTTAAACCTTGGAAGTTGATACTGTCACCAGGCCACTTTCAAATTACGTTGTTGGTGGAATGATTGATCTTGACTTTCAAGGGGCAAATTGAGCTGCTATTCCACCATGAGAATATGAGTGCTTATGCTTGGAATACACACAATACCCTGAGGAGCGTATTAATAATTCCATGTCTTGTGATAAAAGTTAATGTAAAACCACAAGCCAATAAAAGTTGGACTGCTACTGGCTCATACCATTCTGGAATTAAGTCTTGGGTCATCCCACCAAGAAAGGAATCACTATCAGCTGCAAACAAAAGGAATACTGAATAGATAGTGGAAGAAGCCAGTTTAAATACCAGCTATGACCATGTGACCAGTGACAGAAATAAGAACTGTAATAATTATTAAGATCTTCTTTATTTTAATACGAAGAAAGAGAAGGGTGTGGATATAGTCACCATTTTTCTTACCTTTTTCCATTTTCCTTAAAATAAGTTAGAGGTAGTTACGCTTGTTTCTCAGTAATTAAATGTAAATATGCTCAGCTGTAAGAGGAATGAACATTCCCTTAGCATAGATATAGGGACTTGTATCTTATTTTGGAAGATGGCTACTAAGGAAGTTAAATATGAATAAAAGGTGTGTATGGATGCCAATTTGACAAAGAGTAGATTGTGGTGGCTTTGGGCTGTATCAGTGTGCCTAAACTGGAGCTAGGTGTCCCAGATTTTTCTTCCTTGTATAATTCTGGGTTAGGTTTGGCTACTTACCTCGTGTAAAAATCTATATGGGATTTGGCAAGAAGTGAAGAAGTAGTAATTTCTGTGTTCTGAAGGCTAGTGCAGAACTCTAAGCGCTATCCCTTGTATACTTTCAGTGACCTACTGGCTCATTTTGTTGACCTGGGCAGCACATAACACAACTCCTCAATCTCCTCCCAGATCTTTGTCCTCAGTTTCTCCAAGTCCTGGTCTAGACACATGTCTAACACTGTGTCAAGATATACTAGCTTCTCCCATTGGTCACCAACATGACTGAGGCTGGAAGTAAAGAAAAACATGGGTTCCAGTTTGTCCTCATGGGTTCCTGCATCTCCTTGTCCCTCCACCTCACATCCAGTTTTCCTTCCTAACTACCCTGCAGCTGACCTAAAGCTACTCTCTACCATCAGCATACTTCTTTTCCTCTAGGAACCTATTAATAATGTAAAATTGTGTTTAGTTTAATTATATAGTAAAGGCACCTTTTTAAAAATTTTAATGTTTATTTATTTTTGAGAGAGAGAGAAAGAGAGAGCAAGGAAGGGGCAGAAAGAGAGGGGGAGACACAGAATCCGAAGCAGGCTCCAGGCTCTGAACTGTCAGCACAGAGCCCGATGAGGAACTTGAACTCATGAACTGAGAGATCATGACCTGAGCTGAAGTCGAACACTTAACCAACTGAGCCACCCAGGTGCCCCTAAAAGCACCTTTTTATATCTGAGAAGAGATTTCAAAGTTCTCTGATGTCATTTTATCATTTGAAAAGTTAGCATACATTTCATGTATTGTGATATAACCTGTGTCTAAAGAACAATTTTTTTTTTTTAGGCAGAGTTAGGGGAAGGGAGACAGTGTTTGGATGAGTAATTGATATCTTGCTCTACAGATGAGTGACAAGACAAGGGTCACTAGGGAAGAGTGGCTACAAGGCCAGGACTATGGTGAAACACACAGAAATCAAATCAAATATAAATATATATACATGCTATATAAATTGGCATTACATTCACCATGTTGATATAGCTAATGACATTTACAATACATGACCCAGTGATTATTTGAGAAAATACCACTCAAAAAATACATAATTCAGACCAACTGAATTACCAAAATCCAAGGGAAAAAAAGTTTCTCCTCAAAAACTGATATAACTTTTTCCTTATTAAGAATAAAATTATATAATCAGTCATTTCTTTTGCTCTAGCCACTTGAAAAGTCTGTCACTTGTTAAAAAATAATTTAAGAAAGTATTTTTCTCCATGTTTTATACATATATATGTATATGTATATATGTATATACACACATATATGTATATATGTATATACACACATATGTATGTTTATATATACACGTATGTATATACATACATGTATGTACGTGTGTGTGTGTGTGTGTGTGTGTGTGTGTGTGTATTCCTTGTCTTTCTTGGGGCAATTAATTATACTTTTCCAAATTATAATTTACAACAGTCTTGGGGCACCTGGGTGGCTCAGTTGGTTAAGTGTCCAACTCCTGATTTCAGCTCAGGTCATGATCTCCCAGTTCATGGGTTGAAGGCCCACATCAGGCTCTTCACTGACAGTGCAGAGCCTGCTTGGGATTCTCTCTCTCTCTCTCTCTCTCCCTCTCTCTCCTCCCCTCCCCTGCTTATGCTCTCTCTCTCTCTCAAAATAAATAAACATTAAAAAATAATTTATAACAGTCTTATAAGCTGCTAGAAAGATTTAAACAGTTGAAAGAAATTAATGCATGAATAAATGAATGAATGAAAAACAAACAAATTTAATAGACATTTCCCAAAAGAATATTTCAATATAAATTATAGGATTTATACTGTTATTAATACTAAATACCTATCTGCTTATTTCATTTAATATTAGTTGAGTGTTAGTCAATTAAGACCATTTTATATCGGGGTGCCTAGGTGGCTCAGTTGGTTAAGCATCCGGCTCTTAGTGTGGCTCAGGTCATGATCTTGGGGTTCATGTCTTCAAGCCTTATGTCGGGCTCCACAATGACAATGTGGAGCCTGCTTGGGTTTCTGTCTCCCTCTTTCTCTCTGCCCCTCTCCCGACTCACACTATCCCTGTCTCTTTAAAAGAGAGAGAGAGACAGAGACAGAAAGAGAGAGAGACCATTCTGTCTTATGTATTTCACTTAGAACAACATATTCTAAAAGGCATGATAAAAATTCTATTGGATGGTATATGTTTGTATCACTCAGTCTTTTTCTATATCAACAGTCTATATTTCTTTTCCATAGGAACATAATAGAATTATTTCAACTAATATATTATCTTCATGAAGGTCAATTCTGAGCACATATGGAACAGCTTATGGTATGGTAGTCTTCTCCTAATTTACAGAAAATTTAACCTATTAATTTTTAGATATTACTCAGTTTAGGCTTATTATATGATATAGTTTAAGACAATATCTGAAATTGAGGAAAAAATTAATATATCGTTAGGTCTTACAGTCAGTTCATTTCAAGCCACACATCATGGGGGTTATCTATTCCACTGTGAGAATACTCTCATGTTTTCCACATCAGTGTTACTTTAGCACGTAAGATCTAACAAGAGACATATCGCAGTCATTCCAGATTCCACATGCCCTAGTGCCATTAGCATTCATGCTAAATGAATGCCGTTTCATTTAATAAGAAGTCCATTTCCGCTGTTCATTCACTGCCCCTTTAAGTGCCTGTTTTCCTATCTAAATCTGCCACAAGGCATGTGTGCAACCAGTAAATTGAGGATTTGAAAAGATTTTTACTTTATATGCCTTGAACTGATTTGCTCTTTACTGGCAATCTAAAAGTAGATGGGATCTATGGCTGTGTCACACTCTGTCTTCTTTCCTCACCTCTTCGTACCTTCCATAATGTTCCCACAAAGTGGCTTATTCAGTGATCTAATAATTTGAGTATCAACCTTTCAGTCCCATTTATTTTTTGATGAATTGTTTGGACTTTCTTTTTAAAAATAAATGTTTGGGTACCAGTCTTAGGGCTGAAAGATTAATAGTGCCTTATTAATCTCAGGTAGATGTTATATTTAAGTGTTTGAATTTGAATGCCTTTTTATACTTAGATGATTGAAGTTCACAATAAGAAAGCACAAATTCTAAGAAATTATGTAGCTGTTGAAATGGAGCTGCCATTTTCTAAAGTATAACACCCATTTGTTATATGATTTTTTATTCAAGATGCTGAACTGCAAACCACAGAGAATGAGATATTGGCAAAGGAGATGCTATAGAAAGAACAACAACAAAAAAAAATCCTGATAGATTCCTTAATCATATAAGTCACTGGTGAACAATAAAGCACTGTTAAGATTGCTTTAGAAATTAGGTCTTGACCTGACTTTTTGAAAAATAGCACAAAGTAAATTGAAAACATAAATGGATATGTGTTTCTGAGAGAGGGTGGGAGAACTTCAGTATAATGAAGATGAAGGATGTTTGTTCTATCAAAGACAAACATTAGAATTAATGATACCAATCCTAAAAATGATGAATTATTCAATTTTAGAGTCTGTAGCATATATTCATGCCATAGGTATGTATATAAAGGGTGTGTCCCTACTCACAAAATAATTTGACGAAGATGAGGAAAATCAGGCTCAGAAAACATGCAGTGTATTCAGAGGTGCGTGTCACTGTCCTGCCAGTTTGAGGATGCACGGGAGCTGTGGTATGTCCGTGACAGTTTGCACACAGAACAAGGTAATCTCTTGGGTCCTACCACACAGTGTGTTATTCTCCCCAAAGTCTTTGCTCTCCCTCACTTCTTTGCTTCCCCGAGCTTTCTTTCCCTGATGCTGGCCCTCCTTTTTACAGCCCTTTCTATCACCTATCTGGTTCCTGATTCACTGACGGTTACTTCCAGAGCCAGCCAGAGACTGCTGAGCCAGCATCATGCCTGCCCCCAGGCAAGACACTCTGGCCTTCAACCCAGTAGTTAAGATTCAGCACTGCTTACCACAAGGGCCAATGACTGCATTGTTTATTATTGCTTTGGCCATTTTTTGTGCTTCTTGTTAGGTAAAGTTTCAGAAGCCAAAATGAAAACAATACCTGACCCCTTGGCTGTTGCCATCAACAACAGGTGCGGGTAGGAGCCAGGAGCTTTGGTGGTGGAAATAGAGCATCCTGGTGACTCCAGCATTTGCACGAACTAGGTTCACAAAGAAAACATTAATTAGAGAATGCATAGTTTCAGTCAACAAATAAAAGACAATTTATAAACCGATAATATTTTGATCCACATAAGGATAATGAAACCTAAAATATCAAGCAGTAAGAATCACAAAATAGTCTGGTATACATAATATTTATGTATACATAAATTTTACACTATTTAAACTCTTCTGGATGATTCACTGTTGTACAAACTGCATGGTTTTTGTTTGTTTGTTTTAGTCAGAGAGATTGCAGACTAGTGACACTGCCCCGGGACTCTGCCACTTTGAGCTGGCTTGATTAAGTCACAGCACCCTGAGGTACCATTGCTATATCACTGAAACGAAAATATCTACCTTTCAGAGTTGCTTTAAGTTCTTTAGATAACATTAATAAACTAGCATATGCTAGACACTCAATAATTTACATACATATAGTATATAGATAATATTTAGTATTATAAAACTGAAATTACTATAGCATCCCATATACATAAGTATGCACACAAGTAACACTTATGATTACTCTGAATATATATATATATATATACATATATAGTATCTAAATACACATACACATATATACATATTGTATCTAAATACTATAATTGGTGATATTTTTAATGTTTATTCATTTTTGAGAGATAGCCCCCGTGAGCGGGGTAGAGGCAGAGAGAGAGGGAGACACAGAATCCGAAGCAGGCTCCAGGCTCAGAGCTGTCAGCACAGAGTGGGACACGAGACTTGAACCCATGAACTGTGATATCATGACCTGAGCTGAAGTCGGACGCTTAACTGACTGAGCCACCCAGGTACCCCTTTAAATGCTTCAAATATAACAATGGGCTTTCCACATTTGTGGCCACAAAGCCACAGTCGCTGACACTCTGGCATTTTGCCTTATTTCCTCCCCCTCCACTCAGCTCAAAGTAACTTCCTCTGTGTTCCCTTTACTAAGAAAGCTGCAAGTCCATTGGGTCTCTCAATTCTTATGAAGGAGGAGAGGAGATAGAGAAATCTCCACATTTTTAATACATCCTGTGAGGAGTAAATATTTTTCGGCATATGTACTACCCCTTCCAGTCTGTTTTTATTCAACTAAAGTGATACTAACCTAGAAAGATCAGAGAGAGGTATCTTTTCACTTGAAAACCAGCTTTCAGGGGTGCCTAGGTGGCTCAGTCAGTTAAGTGTCAGACTTTGGCTTAGGTCATGATCTTGAGGGTCCTGAGTTTGAGCCCTGTGTCGGGCTCTGTGTTGACAGCTCAGAGCCTGGAGCCTGCTTCAGATTCTGTGTGTGTGTCTCCCTCTCTCTCTGCCCCTCTCTCTCTCTCTTTCAAAAATAAACAAACATTAAAAAAGTAAATAAATAAAAACAGCTTTCATCCCTGACTACTCCTCACTTAAAACACCATTCTCTTTCCTTCTAGTTGTGTTTCAAATTTCATTCTGCCTTTATACTTTTAGGCATATTGTGCTGCCCCAGGTACACCTGTACTCATGTGGGTCTGTCCCCATTGGCTAAATTCCTTTGACGAAATAGCCCCATCATAAAATTGGAATAATCAGGTAAAAGTTACCCTTGCTTTCCTCGCACTGATGGATGTGTTTATTGCCAAGCTAACAAATTGTTACCCTCTCTTCATCTTCCATAAGAAGCCCCTTGCCCCTTAATTTCCCTGCACGTGTTGGAATTTCCTGCTCAACTAACACTTCCAAGGGCTTTTTAGGTGATTACTTTAGTGTCTTTAACTAATTTTAGTTACTTAGTATACTGCGTGTCAGTATATTTGCACAGTTTGAAATTACTCCAGATACAAATAGGCCTCAACAGTATAAAGATGGTTATGCAAATTGACTTGTTTTCAAGTTGGTCTGTCTAGGAGGACTTGGGCATTTCTCAAACAGAGGTGTATTTTCATATGTAAAAAGCCTCTTAGATCTAGATAGAATCAGAAAACATAGGAAACTTGACTATATAGAATGAGAATTTTAGCTTCAGGAATTGAAACTCGTGTGTGTGTGTGTGTGTGTGTGTGTGTGTGTGTGTGAGAGATGTGGAAACAAGGCTCAAAAACTTAAATAAGTTGCTAGGTCAAATAATTAACACATAGTACAGTCAGAATTTGAACAAGAGCTATGTAGGGCCAAAACCCTTATTAATCCTATAAAATAGTGTTTCTCCAGGGAACATCATAGAAAAGTTGACTATTTTCACCTAGCGTAGTGAAAAAGTTGGAAAGGGGCTTTAAGGGAGGGTATAATATTAACATTCTCAAATGGAAAAAATACATTAATAAAGAGTGTGAGCACAAAAACATCCATGGAGACATTTAAACCATAAATGAAGACTATTGAACCATTGTTTGGTTCATTAGTCTAATGTGAGTGAGAGAACTAGAGATATATTTGGGAAAGCAGGCTGGAGATAACCTGAAGGCCTTGAACTCCAGGATGAGGAGTCTGGGCTCCTTGCATGGGCTATGGAGCACTTGTGGAGGCATTTGCCAACTGGGATATATTTCAAGAAAAGCAACATGAAAGCATTTCACGAGGAAGAAACATGGGGAAGGAGACTCACGCTGGGGAGACCATTTATCCAGTGATCAGAGTGCTTCGCGAGTCTTAGAGCTTTTAATAGGATTGGGACATAGGACAGAAGGGAGAGAACAGCCGCAATCTTAGAGGAGGATCAAACATGGTGTGAGAAGGACCTACCCCACCTGTGTTTTTCTCAGTAGCTCATGATTTGTATGCAATGCTTCCTCAATACCCAGCAGTTGTTAAAAAAAAAAAAAATAGAAACTAAATTTTGGGTTTTAGATCAGGAAGGAATCAGGAAGTTTCTAAAGAGATGGCACATTTCTTTTTTGTTTGTTTGTTTGTTTATTTTGAGAGAGAGAGACAGTGCAAGTAGGGGGTAAGGCAAAGAGAGGGAGGGAGAGAGAGTCAGAGAGAGAGAGAGACAGAGAGAATCCCAAAGGATGCTTAACTGACTGAGCCACCCATGTGCCCCAAGAGATAGCACATTTCTAACTCAAAACCACTGGCTCTAAAAATAAATATCATTATCCTGGAAAGATAGGGTAAACTAGGAGAAAAGACATAATTGCCTTCGCATATTTTATGTCAGGATTTCATTGTCGGAAAGAAAGAAGAAAGAAGAGTGGAGAATTTAAAGGACTAGTTAGTTAGAAGGACAAAGGAATCCAATGGCTCTCCCATAGGTTAGGGACTGTCCTCCAGCTATCCACCTCATGCCTTTCTCTTGCCCTTGAAGATAAAATAAAGTGTAAATAAAACTAAAACCGTAAGTGCAAAGCAAACACATACAATTTATATAACAGAAGATAACAGTATAAAATAAACGAGATAAAATAGCAAACTAAAAATTCAGACTAGATAAGATACAGTAAGAAAGATAAGACAATAAAACAAAAAAGATGAAAGAAGTTTTAATAAGTAAGTTTTGCATAAAAGAGTACACTAGGAAAATGGATCATTTAAGGGCAAAGAATCCAAGCTAATAAAAACAACCTTTTAAAAAGAATAGAAAAAATGAAGCCCTATAGAGCTTAGAGTTAACCCTTGGGACAAATTGAGCTATCAATTTCTGGTAGTCAACATACCACACATCTTCCTTCTGAGGCTGGGCTTCACTCCAGAAGTTCTACCACCAAAAGTGGGAGGCCCCAGGCAAATGTACTCAAGCAAGGAAATCCTGAGAGATTTGTCCTTTAGAAAGGCTTTCATTTCTAACACCTGGCCTTCTTTACATCTTTGACAATGGCACAACTCCAGCCAGTTTTTCTACCTAGGTCCTGCAAGTTAGCAAATCTCTCCTACACAAAATAAGAAAATGAATTTGAAGATTCAGCAACGAATTGAGCGTGGAGAAACAAAGGAATGGAAGAAATAAAGAAGGTTCCAATGTTAGAAATTTTCATCCAAGGCTATATAGTAGGCATCAAGGGGTTTTGGAAATGGGAGATACATTCCCTCTTATGTGTGAAGCCATCAATACTGAAAGACAGCAGCTCACAGATAAATCACATGGAGACAAATCAGCAAAAACCACTATCAGAGAAATGTTTGTGTCTCTACTTAATTTTATTATTGAAAAGAATCACACTTTTGATCAATTCTACTAATCTCTTAGAG